CGGTAGACCGCGCCCAAAGCCAGGGCCCCGGTAACGTGAGGTAGCCGAGTCGGGGCAGCGTGCGCTGACCCAAGCCGGGGCCGCGGCTTTGGGCGCGGTCTACCGCATCCCCGGGCAGCCCCGGGCTATCACATGACACCGGGAGGACGCGCGGCCCCGGCTTGGGTCAGCGCACGCTACCCCGACTCGGCTACCTCACGTTACCGGGGCCCTGGCTTTGGGCGCGGTCTACCGCAACACCTAACAGGCGTGTTCGAAGATGATGATGAACGGGTTTATCGAAACTTGATTGGATGAGCCTATCGGTAATAGCGATTTCAGTGTGTGCATTTATTGTTCATAGTGGTGTGAAATGTGGTTGGGGTACGACCGACAACCCGTCGGGGCGAATTTCGCACTGGGGTACTCAAAATTTGAAGAATTTAAGACGTTTCCATGAGTTTTGAAGGTATGGATAAGTTCTAAAAATCCGGTTCTCCTTATCTGGGCCATTAACTCCACACGGTCCAGGAAAGCTGGCACACTACCTTTAAATTTTCCCGGAGTTCGCGACTTGTATTCTGACTTCGCGAATTCCTTATGCCTGAAGATCCACCGAGCAGCATGTTAACCGCAAAAGTTTTTTGCCATTTTTTCGTCCAGAAGGATCTGTTTAGAACCGAGCACACGGCTTTTTCAGACCTACATACTTCAGCCCTTCATCGGCAGTCGACAGCCTTGCTGAGCACAATACAATGCTAGTTCACTCTCAAGCACGTGAAAAGTACTTCGCTTATTGGTGTTTTACCCCCCACCAGCTACTTGGAGAACACAAGTTTTCCTAGTCGTTCTTTGATTGTGATGCGTTGGTAGGTTCTTTTGGCTACAGTCAGTATGTTTGGCTTCTGCCTTCACGAACGTGCTAGGCCCACGACTTTGGTCCCTCGTTCCTAATTTGCGCCGATCCTGGATGGAAGTTCCTGGGCTGCTTACGGTGATTGAACGCATTACCATATATGATTGGGCTATTGGCATCCAGGAAACTGATCTACATTCCTGCGGGTAGTCGGTTTCTCTTCCTGGATTACTCTCATTCTTATCTCTGCTCTGCTTTGGCTCGACGTGATTATCAGTCGCGGTTTCGATACCTACCTAGAGAATAAGCACACTAAGCGTCGTTTATGATGTATACTGTAAAGATATTGGAAATGGCGATAAAAACCATGCCTATCGCTGCCACGCCAAACAGGCAGTGATTCTTGCAGTAATCCACCGGGTCATTGGCGCTGTCATTGCCAGAGGGCCATTTCTGTTAGCCTGCTTATGTAGTTCTAAAGCTATATCCGCCTGGTGTGAACTCCATCCAACTTTAGAAATGGTGGCGGCGGCAATTTCCGTTTCCTCAGCACATTGTCAGCGGCCATAAATTCATATTTTCTTAATTCCAGTTTTATCACCGCGGTCTGGCCGTCGCTGCCAGGCCAGCGGCCTCGGACCGGCGCGGCCGCTGTGAGCCGTCTGCTCCGCTCTAACGCCGGTTTGTTATAGGCTTAGGTTTAGGTTTAGGTTTTACTAGTGGGCTTGGGTAGACCGGGTCTATTCAGGGCCCACATCCGGATAAGGTCAGAAATGACTCAGTGAGGATTCCTTGTGGCCCAGTGGTGGTCCAACCGGTTTTTAAAACTGTTCGTAGTCAGTGCCGATATAACTTCCTCTGGCAGAGCATTCCAGGGGGACACCACACGTTGAGAAAAGAACATCATCCTTGCATAGGCTGTACGGTAATTGAAGCAGGGCCCGCTGCCGTCTTGTGAACGTGCTGTTTGGAACGGCATCCTTTGTGATAGGAGCGTGGTGCTGCTGGAAATGGAGACTGGCGCTGGGTGAGAGCTGCTGGAGAATTTAGGGAGCCTGTAAAATAGTTGTGAAATGAGACAGCGTGACTGTCATCTGGACGATGAACAGAAGATCAGTGCAACATCCTAATGGTGGTGTTAAATTCGATGCGACTGGCATTTTATTGCTATTATTCTAGACATAACTGTCCGTCGTATTATTCTGGCTTCCCTCAGTAACTCGTCGATGTTTTCTCCCTGGATATCTCTGGCGAGTGGTTGCCTTGTTCAAGGGTGGACAATTTCCTGGCTTGATATAGAGTGTCAGCCGGTTCCGCGCGACGAAAATTGGCCAACAAATTTCAAACCTACGGGGCTGAAAATTGCTTCCGATAGAGATTGACATCTGGTATAGGTCAGTCAGACGAACCTGGTCAGGCTCAAAAGTCAAATGAGAATGTAACTGCCAAGATAGTGCTTAAAATGACAATTTAACATTAAGCATTGCATTTTACTTTACGAAGAAGAATAAGTAAATGGAATATCGAAACCAGTATTATTATCAGTCCATGATATCCGTGTTCTGGGGCGTCCACCCTGAAACTCAATCTTGCAACCAGAAAGTCTGGATGATCAAGTTTTTAATCGGGTTAATTACTTCATACAAGGACATTGTTAACCCATATCCAATGTTTGTCATTGCATTCATAACTCACATGCTTTCGGTGCTCATTCAGAAGATGGACGCCGACTTTTCAGCGTCATTGCAAGGGAATGTAACATTCCCCAGCGTATTCTACCTAAATCTACTCAATACTGAAATATCTGTCTGACAGTGATACTGCGAGAGCTTACCAAAGGACTTCAAAAGGTTTGCACGCGCGATTAGGTGATTGCTGTCGACGGCTCTACTCGGCTGCTGAGATTATTCCTTTTGGAGGTGGCTTTCTCGACCTTAGCGAGTCCCAGGCGTGCCTGTCGGCTGCCAACTTCGAGCCGGGATATATTGTGACGAAATCTAACAGCTCTGATAGCACTCACATCAGCTCTTCAGGATGTCTTTTCGCCATATCCCCTTGGAGCGCCACTCAGGAATATATTGAAATCTTTTGAGACTAGTCAAATAGAAATAAGCTTGTATCTTCACAAAACTCGGGGATCTGCAGATTGTGAAAAAAGAGAAGCAAAAATAATGTTTGTAGATTATGAGTATATTTAAACCAGTGTCCAGTACGCTGTGGTTAAAGCCTTTCCCGTCTGTTTAATAGGATCGCTCCAAAATCACACCATATTTTTGCTGAAATGACTGATCTATAAGTGTAACTTCAATAGTCAACTTTGCTGTAGAAAGGAGTTAGTTTAAAATCAACGAATTTGTGCAAATTTTTTTCGTATTTAGGGGTCACTGGTGGTTAGCTTGTCTTATTTTCCTGAGCGTAGTTTGACCTCGAATGGTCAAGCAGTGGTACTGCTCCCTGATGACTCGTCAAATCAACACGAGACAGGGTCTGCCTAAGTGGGGCACTCACACGAGGGTCACCTACCTCATGGTCTTGTATCCACTAGCTTATCGTAATGTTTGTATAAGTAGGACTGGAGATGGCCTACTTCTGAGTAAGTGATGTATAATTTTCTTTTTTCTTTTTTTGACGAGGTCTTACCGTGATGCCGATTAATGTGCATATCACCATGCTTGACAACTGCTAAGTGCATAATGGTCGTCCCATGATACATTGCATGGATGGCGCTCGTAAATGGTTATAAAAAATAGAATAGTTATATTAAGGAGTGATGCAGACATCCAGGTTTCTGAACACAAATAAGCTTGTGTATTACAATATCTCTGCGCATTATATGAAGCTTCTGTTATACAAGAAGTTTTTGTAAAATGTACACCACCAAAGTGAGACAGTAGTAGCGATTTATACGATTTTTCTCAGATCATTTTATCTTTGTAGTTGTATCCGAGTTCGCGCAGCTGTCTGGCAAAGCCAGTGCAATCACGTTTTGGGTTGTCATCGACAGCGTCAGGGTTCGACAGGCGCACTAAAACTCGTTACCGGGACCATCCTGTGACCTTTGTCGTAGTTTTGCCTTTCGAACCGTATGTTCTACAGGCATATCTGCCTATATGCAGGTACCTGTTCACTAACAGTCTGGGATTAAAGGGACTATCCCACCTTTAACATGGGGTTTGAGTTGAGATAGCCAAGTTTGCGGCGAGGTTCAGAAACCACTATCTATCTAGGTTGCAACCCCCGCAGCCTCTTGGTGTTGAAGAAATTCGTTCCCTTCATTTGAAAATGGGCCTTGTACAAGGCCCTATCTTCAACATGGAGCGACCGTTAGTGTGACGTCACCTCGTTTAGTCATTCTGATTTAAATGGGTTTGTTCGTTGAAAAATCGCTTAAAACTTGGTCTGAACTTTGTTGTGGTGCCTACAGAGTAAAAAGAATCAGCTTTATGACAGTAATGTGGCCTGGGGAAGGAGGTAATTTTGGGCTGTGACGTCACATATTTGAAAGTTTGTGTTTGGAATATGGGAAGCCTAAGATGTTTAATGAAAAATAAATGCCAGAACCGTGTTCCTGGTCATCCAATCTATAAAGTCGGACACAATTTACCTGGTTTTAACAACATTTTAGAAGGTGGGATAGTCCCTTTAACTGCGAATGGACTGCGAAAATTGCCGAAATGGCGATCGTCGAATGTTCTATGCGGTTCAACTCTATTTTCAAGGCTTACTTTTATCAGGTTTAGGCTTCCAATTTTATTTGTATAGGTGTTTTTCATTTGTTGAAAGCAAACAAGTACCGAGACACTTGACATTTTGATACTTGTGGATAAAAAATGCAAGAAGTGCGACGGTGTGTAGTCTCAACTTTAAATTGGTCGCTGTTGTTGTAAAGCGCACTCGATGTGATGTTGCCCAGGGGAGAGAAGTCGACACAAAACTTTACGGTACACAATCGGAAAAACTTGTCCTCCTCCATGGAATTGCTCTTTACTTGCAATCACAGTAGGGTTATATCGCCAAATTTACTGGCTTCGATCTGCTGATGAATAAATTCAGCATTACTATTTACGATGTAATAGTCTGATGTTATTAAAGCAAGCGTCCATCGCTTAGTAATTTATCCACATCTACCAGAGTTAAACAACGCTTCTGTTGCTTGCGCCCGCAGGCTTTCGAGGCGCTGGAAGGCCTATTGGCCAGCAACAACATCTGCATAGCGGTGAAGGAGAAACTGAAAAAAGACTCGGGGGTGGCCAAGGAGGCGGCCTATGACATCATCGTGAAGAAGTTGCTTCAAAAGGAGAGCGCCAGAGGTGAGTGAGCTTAGCTACCAGCGGCGGTCGGAAAAGCGCGTATGTGGAGCCTCCCTCTCACCCCCACCCGCAATTTTGGTACTTGGTATGCGGTAAAACGTTTGTATACAGATCACTGATTTATTTTTTTTTCACCTGAACACCAAATTATTACCAAAAATACGAGCATGTGGATAATATTTTCACCCTGCTCGTTGAGGGAAGGTGCGTCTAACGTTAGCTGAAACGCGCGTCTCAGATGATTTAAGTTGAGCGTAGGCTCCTATCATAATTGAGGACCATCTGGCAGCGGCACTGGTCGCAAGAGACGACTGTCCGAGTCCAATCGCGCAAATGCACGGTGGTCGTTCCCGACCGGTGTCGAGCGCCCACATCCCCCTACGCCCCCCCCCCCACCCATCCTCCCACGATATCCTCTGAGTGGAGGGGGGAGAGCGCCCAACTGAACAGACGCGTGCTGCCACCATGGCGCTACCCAGCCCGCTGATGACGAGTCGCCGACTCAGGCAGACGGACAGCGAAATGGACGGCCTCCTTATGGCATTAGCCAGTTCCAGCTGAGGGGAGCCCCGAGCACCGGGAGAGCTAAATTGAAATACAACCTGCTTTGATGTTCCTCTGTGCCGGTTGTGGGCCGCGAAACCATGAACTGTTACGCAATATCTTCCATTGTGCAATGCGCAGCTACCTGCTAATATAGTGCCAAAGATGGAACCATGCGAATAAATGAAAATATGTATGTATGGATGGTGCAAAGCTTTCCAAAAAAAGCTATAGAAGTACTGTTCGCGAAATGACTTGGAGCGGGTATACAGCTTCGATAATAGTTCATTGTGAGTGTAAAATTTGTGTGACATTACATTTTTACAACTACGAAATATTAGACAAAGTGAAATAAAAAGGAATGCATATGAAGGGCAATGGCCGCGCAGCTTCTAATTTTGTAGGTAGATAAAACTGTCAACATTTAGACCATGAACCATATTCATTTTTTAAACTTAACCCGCGCCCCAGTGGCGGTCTCAGCCAACTTCGCCCTAGTGGGGGGGGGGGGGGCATATGTTACCACCCACCTCTAACTCAAAAACTAAGATGGATAGAAAGACGCGGTGAAAAGCAGTCGTTAGCTCTGAATGCGTACGTTTGAAAGTATTTGATCATTTTTCATCTTAGAGCAATATTGGGGTCACCAGAGGTCATCAAAGGTCAAAATTTGTCAATGGTCATTATATTTTTCAGAAAACATGCCGTTATCTCAGGAACTATGGTAGCTAGAAAAACGCATGGAACAGCAGACGATAGCTTGTGAACTCTTCTTTTGATCAGGTCATTATCAAAATTGACCTCAGGTCAACGGTTTAGCCTCCAGAGGGCAAAAACTCCAAAAATAGCTGTTTTTACGAAAAGTGTTTTTCGACAATAACTTTCGACTGCCAAAAGCCACGACATTTCTATTGCCAGAATCGTGTTCCTCTCGCTGAGACGCGTCGAATGAACTATAATTTGACCTTGAAAGGTCAACTTGAAAATTTGACCTCAGGTCAAGGTCATGGCCTGACCGGAAAAGGTCATGTTGCATATCAGTCGATGCGTCTCGGCAAGACAAACACAATGAGACCATCCCCAGCGTTCTATCTCTTTCCAATCTCGAGTTATTGGCAAAAAAACTGTTTGTAGCCTCAAATGACCTCGGATGACCTTTCTAGAGGCTATCAGCAAAAATGACACCTTGGTCATCACGGGTGGTCCAAATCATTGTGATTCTGAAATATTTGGACTGTTCCGATGCGTACACACGGATCTAGAGGCATTTTGCATTTTTCTCCATTGACTTGTAATGGAAAGGTCACGCCACTGACCTGACCTTAGGTCACGGATATAGAAAATCCGAGATATACAAATTGTAGGCGCCCATAACATCATGCAATCCACCAAGTTTCAAACCTTTCCGACAAACACTGCAGGCTGGACATGATTGCAAACTTTATTTTAGGCTTGGTTAGTTAACTTAACCTGGTGACCTGACCTGACATGACCTGGGGTCAAAAATTTCACGCGTTGTCCAAAATTGATGTGCCAAAAGCTACCCCAAGCGGCGCGGCGCTACGCGCCGCGGTTTTTTATTTACACGCAAAAAACGCGACAGGGTGGTAACATATGCCCCCCCCCCCCCACTGGGGCGAAGGCTAACATGCTATTCTGCATATACGTTTTACTGACAGTTGGCACTCAAGCCAAAAGGTATTCTTTATTTGGCACATGCTTGTCCTCATCTGTGAGTATGTTTCAATCTATCCGACAATTCACGACAGTGTTGACCTATGACGAAACAATCTGACATTCACCTCGACCCTAATATGACGTCATGAGTAGGTACATCGCCCTATCTTCTTGTTTCGAAAATGCATTGAGCAAGGAGCTAATAATGGACACGCATTGGGGCATGCTTCTATTCACCTGGGCATCATCCTCTACAGCAGAATAGACGAACATAAAAATGATCCTTGATATTTGGTTTCAAATTTGCACTATCACATGTGTCGTTTGATTGTTTAATTTGTAGGTATGTCTTTTTCTGACTTTAAGATATAGTTGAGGTTAAAAGTAAGTCGTTCTTTATCAGGGCTCAGTGCACTGAATTCTGCGGTAGGTCCGGGCTAAGTAATCTAATTTGTCAAAAGATTGCTGACCTTTACTTCTCCCAGAAGTGCATTTAAATGCCTGACATTTTCGAGACCTATCAAGCGACTATAATGCATGCGAAATAAAAGACCCGAGCGCGTGGGTAGACCCTTGATAGGTGCGGTCTGGAAAGGATAAAAAGTCCCTTACTGGAGTACCCCGTGACCTCCGTAAGTAACCTATGTTGAAGGAACTCGACTTTCCACACTGAGTCCCTGGACAGGAAGTTCCAACTGTCAGCCGACTTAAGCCCTTTGATGCCGTTGTGCTATCACCAGACATGAATGTAAACTGCACTCGGCGCCTGCCGTCGCTGTAAGCTTATGTAAAGTAGAGGATAAGCGATCCATCGCACACAGAGCTTGCCATGAGACGAGCCGGTTAAACTTTAACTCCGCTGAGAAAGCTTCGCCAAATCTCGGATGACACTTTAAGCAGAATACATTGTGGAATTGCAATACATTTATTACTGAATTTTTGTTTACTTTCTTTGATAACGCTGCTTACGTGGATATTTATGAATATATATGTTATTTTCGCATCTTCCCAGCACTACACCGCACGTTCGTCAAAATTCATGAATGAATCAGCTTCACATTGCTGGATACACAATCACCTAACCACACGTCGATGCCTGTTACTCGGTTCATTTACCACTGCACCATACCCTGGCCTGTGCACCAGGGTCGGTGCTTGATCCGCAGTGGTGGATATCGATCAGGGATAGCCCGAGGACCGCTTCCGTGGTTTTCTCTTGTTTGCCGGATTCGTTAGCAGCAGCGTGGGCCAATCAGAAAACCACTACGTTCAATGCTAACAAAGTTGCGCGTGTGTGCCTTATGCCTGCTTGCGATGCGCTTGTAGTTCCTCGAGCGTGTCTTATCCTCCCACCTATAGCTGACGTTTCTAAAGACCTGGCGGCCAAAGGCAGGCGGCCTGCGCAGGCCATCCTAGGCCGGCTCCATCACTGTCCCATCTATCCAGCAGGGCTCTGCAGCGCGACGTTGTGGCCCAAAGAGATGATGCAACCGGACCGTGACCGTGTGACGTCATCGGCACGGTATTGGTCGCGTCTTGTGACGTCATTGACATGCTCTGAAACGTTGTCAACGCTTGAGAAGGCTTAGGCAAAGGTTGTTGAGGTTAAGGCGATCATGAGAGGGATCTGCAGTTTTGAGTATTGCGTTCAACGGCTAGCAATGCGTCCTTGATCGTTTAGATTGGCTTACGCTAGAGAGGTCATGGCGCTTTTAGGAGGATTGAGTTAGGAGGCTAAATTCCACAGCTATTTCAAACATGTTAACAATTACAATTGATCTCACAGACCCATAAACAGTCTAGTGAGTGCTATTTTACTATGCATGGAGTATGAGACTCGACAGCTCATTGCAACTTCATAGACAATTGTCACAAATGAAGATGGCTGTTTCTATTTTAGGACTAAATATATTATTTTTAATACTAATTAGATTGGTGGATGTTAAATATTACATTAATATCTTGTATTTTATTGTTGATGTGTTACATGTTTATACAGCTGCAACATTTGATACCATTATTAATTAACGTTTAAGTCATGGCACTCGAAAAGCAGTGATGATACACCCCCAAACGCCGTTATGTTCAGGTGATTATGAGATATTCTACCACAATTTGAGCTTTGTATTCAGACGAGCTGCATTATGCTAACCAACACATGTTCGGCGCAGACGTGTCGAGAATTTCCCCCAATGATCGCGGGAAATAGATCGGGCGAATCTGGTCTGACCGTTCTGTGTAATAACGCAATCGTTCTCGGCAATGGCGCCCATTTGATAAGGGTATGCAGCGTTCACGAGGATCGGCCGCACGCGGGATACGAGACGGTTCCTGTCGCCGCGAGACAACGGCCTCGGCTTATCGGTGTGCGCTGCAGAGGTCTGGCCATTTTAGGCTAGACTCGACAATAGGCCGCTTTGAGGGCTTAGGTAATTGATGGAATAAATATGCGGTAGCATTATAGGGTAGCGTTGTAGCGACTCCCGCTGCGCGAAATTAGATTACCTGTGGAATAAAATATGCATGAAGAAAATCTAATCACCACATGTAATGGTCCCACTAAGTAAACTCAAACATAAAGTGTAAAATGAATTTTTTCATGCACTTTGCTGATAACATAATGTTAAACGCTTAGCTTCAATGCATTATTGAAAAGCACGGAGACCTTTTATGTTCTGGCGAGCAATGTTCTTGTCGTTTGGTGTGAACTTCTTAGGCATGGAAATGATTTGGACAGAGTTCTTTGATTAGCGATATAATTTTAACTGGTTTGAGCTTGACAAATCCCGTCATTAAAAACAAGCATTTTTTTTCGATTTATTGAATTATTGGTCCGAAGTTTCTTTTTTTTTTTTTGCACTCCGGCCGAAGAATAAAATTCATGGAGACCTATTCTTCGTCGCGTATGAAATCAATTCATATCAGGACTGGTCAATGGCAAGTTTCAAATATGGCTGATGACCACGATCAGTATTTTTTGGTTCCCCTAACAACTCATCCAATGCGATTCATTCAGCCACTTCCTGCAGCGTGCAATATTTGAGCACCTCGTGACGACCACAAGCCACGGGTATCCCGACTCCCCTCCCTCACCACTAGAGAGCTCTCTGAGCTCGCGACCCAGAGTGACGGCGTGATTGCCACCTAATCAAGGAGCAGTCGAGACCATAATTGGTCTGAGACACTGCCGAACCAGCAGAGGGCGTCCCTCCGGAGTTTGGCAGACGAGACATTCGCTGTGCGCGGCGAGAGGCTCTGGTGCTGGCACACGGAAACTGGAGGTTTTCATGGGTTTCATAGATTTTTCTTCTTAGGCGACATTTCTTGTAATCATGGCACCCACATTCTATCCATGACTTTTTAGACCAGGCAGATGTTTGTAAACCAAAATAACTAGAATGCTTCTAAAACTTACAATCTTTATTTAAAAACCCAAGATGCAAAATTCTCAAGAACAAGATGCAATATTTTTCATGGAATGCAAACAGCTATTGATATTTCAAATCCATACCTTCCTTGGCAACTGTGAAGTGTCTTGTTTGGATGTCGGAGGTTCCTTCTGTGCTGTGCGGGGAGGTGGGCTAGCGGAGCTGCCGTTTTGCTGATGCCTGCTGGTGACAAAACGCCAACCACCCGCCGCTGGCTTGGGCCGTTTTGCGAGTAATTAAACGGTGAATTCCCGGAGCGCTGCCGGTACGGTGTCGACTACTTTGGCTGATGACAACTGTAGCCTTTCTCATAAAGCTTTGTCTAGTAAAAAGTAATAGTAAAAAGCACGATTTTACTGTTGACCAGTAAAATTCTGTTTCATAAAGCAAAAATTACTTTTACCTAGAGTTGCAAATTTACTAGGTTACTATGGCGCAGTTTTACTGGTGACCAGTAGGAAGATCCTGGGTTGTGTTTCATAAAAGCACGTGCCGTAGTAAAAAAGTCGAATGACGTTTGCTTTCGTGCTGTCAATTTCACCCTTGCTCTACCTTGCAGTAAAACAGCTTACGAGTTTTGCTTTTAGCTTTAATTGTACTTTATGTCTTAATGCGTGTCCTGAGTTTTCGGCATAAACCTTTTATTGGCAAATAACAAACTTCATTTTTTTCTTTAAAAATATCTATTGTTGCTAAAACCTCACGTTAAATCATATGAAAAGTTGGCTCTCCATCCTGGGCAACTGATCGAGGTCAAGAGTGTTTCTGGCAAGCTAATGTGAAGTGGAGATATGTTCGAAACGTTCAAAATGTGAACTGCGATGGATTTTCAATGAAGGAGAGACATTTATTGGAAAAGGACAAGACACGGACAACGGGCCATCAACTGATACATAATAAAGGAAGACCCAGTAACCGAAGTATTTTCGATGTCGGCATAGAATAAACGCAAGTCCAACATTAACCTACTATAGGTACCTACTTTAACCTGAACCTGAACTGAAGAAAAAAACATAATTGGTCTTGTGAGTACAAAACAAATACGATGCTGAATACTTTGTGGGTGCTGAACACTTAGATGCAACTGAAGCAAAATAGCGCTCACCGCCGTGACCACTGATGGTTCGAGGGGCACGTTGGAGTATTTATCCCCCTCTGCAGCGCCCCATGGGTACGAACTTACGCATTTTTCCTTGCATTGAGAGGAAAACCAACAACTTTTATAAGTAGTTTGATTTAGACAGCACAAATAGGCATAATATATCACAATCCGAGAAATTAAAAAAAAAATGAAGCACTTTATTGGGGAGCATGCCTCCCCCAGCATATCAAATAACTTCTGGATCTTCTAATGACTGTACCGGTTGGTCGGACGGAGTCATGCATTACATATACCTACAGTGATGCCATCCACTGGGGCTATTGTGTGCGACGTTCTCGTATGCCCACCTATAAGCAGCGTTGTAGGTGACGGTCAGCTACGACGAGTGGGATCTGCCGGCTATCGAAGTCATGTGCTCAAATAACCAACCGTGCACACTGCACAGTGTGAAGGAGAAGGCCGACGAGCAAATAGCAACTTTGACCGCGGCGCGGGAGCGCCCGTACGAGCTCACATTGCGCCGTACTGGCGGCACGTGGAGATCTCTTTTCTCGCCCATGTGTTGTAGATACGTAAGTGTCTGTGCGGTTGTGCGTTTGTAATCTTTGATATAATAACCATGTGAATATGTAACTACAACGAAATACATGCAACTGAAATGTGATGTGCATTTTTTAAAGCCACGTACAGATGTGGTACGGACTAGGCTAGCCGAGCCAGGGAAATCCAACCCAGGGGCCAGGGAAAGTCTAGTCCAATCCAGTGCCCAGGTCCGGGGGTGTTTTCCTTTCCTTTGCATTGCTCTGTAAATGAAGCAGGCAGCAGCTACCGAAAATGAAATGTTAGTGACCAGACGAAAGGTCTCAGCAAAATAAATCTCGACCTTAAAAATTGAGCTCGAGCCAATTTAGGTCAAAAGTCAAAACCAACATGCTTGCAGGGATCCTTAATTTAATGTCAAGAAGCGCACGGAATACTGAAATATTTTAAAAGTGGGTGTGCCGTGGGGGCCTGCTTTAAAAACTCTGACCCTTTTTCATCGAAAACAATATCTAGCTGCGCCAGCTATCTCCAAATCGCATGATTCATCAGACAGTCGCCGGTGCCTTCACGGCATAAATCGATGTTATTTGACAGCTCGTTCAATTATCGATACGTGGATGCTGGTCCCGTGCCGATCATTGGTCTAGCTACCAAGATATATAGCCAGAACTGCAACGGTGTCTACCGCATTTCGACGATCAAAATAAAATTAAAAAGATATCTTCCACACGGAGGTCCCATGACTCGTTTTCAAGCGTTACTGAGCTCCGAAATCTTACTCTTTTACTAATTACTTTTCACTATTGTTTATGAGACAGAGGGCAACAGTGATTAGTAAACTTGAAATCACTATTCTACTATACACCAGTAATAGTAAAAAATGTTTATGAGAAAGGCTACTGGTGGAGTGAGAGCTTTTGGCTGGTGCCGCACTGGGCCAAAGTGCCAGAATATGGACCTGCTTATTTCCATACATGCGCATAATGTAGGGCTATAAATCACTGCATTATGATTTGCTTATTGGTCATTACCCATGTTCATACTTCATTATCATAAAATATTGCAAGAGTAAAGGTCAAGCTGCATGTAATGCATAGCAGCTTAATGACCATAACGACGATATGGTGGATCTGAATATTGAGCAACTCACGTATGCTAATCATTGGGTTGCTGAAAATTTTTATTCATGGCGGGAAATTTGATTTACTGAAATTGTTATTGGAATGGGACAGCGGATTAATGCAAATATACGTATTTTCTTACCGTTATTTTCTTCTTCTTCTTCTTTTCTGAAACCACTTATGATCGTCCCTAGATTATGACGAGAAATACGGCTTGAGGCATAGCTACTTGAGTACGAGACTTTTCCATTTTAGTGTTTACTCAACAAACATTCACTTTTGGATTGATCATGATTTTCTTTTTGAAACACCACACTCGCTCATTTATGCATTTCGCGGCAAAACACTGCATTTCGCATACCACATGGACATGGATAACATCATAATCGCTTAAACGGACTGTCAATTCTCTTGAATGGTCTCATTTTATGGGGTGATCTGCTGGCATTAGCGACCAGCGCAACTTAAGGGGTTTGCAGTGTAATGCATCATATTACTTTGTTTTTCTTAGCAGGATTTTCGGACCTGAGTTGCATAACACTTTGACAACATCATCAAGCATAGGGCAGCATCTTATTTTGTACATTATTTATACACCGACAATGTTTTTGTTTTCCTCATTTTTTTTTTTTGTCTTATGACGGTGCTTGAATATTTCAAGGGATATTTTAAAATACGACCATATTTTGGTCTTGCATTACCTATCATCCAGCTAAAAAAGACACATTTTGCCTGGGTCACGTTTCAGATAACGCCCAACTCACTTCGGCCATAAAACGACGATTTAATAGATAGATAGATAGATAGATAGATTTGTATTTCAGACTAACAGTCCATTGCTATGAGTTGATGATGCTATGATTAATAATTTGTATGCCTCTCGTTTCGCACACCATTCGTCTCCGTTCCAACTTAGGATGATACTCTTAACCTAGAACACTTGTCCCGTTTAACATACCACGTTTCCTCTAGACTAGGCTCCAAGTAAGTCACTAGCGTTTCATGGACCTCTCGTCTTCGTTCCAAATAGGTCGCTCTCGGTTCGTAGAACGCTCGTCGGCCCTTCCAACCATAAAATCCGCTCCGTTTCAGGTGTGATCATATTCGGCTCAGATCAGGAGGTAGCCGGCGTTATGCGCGCCGTCCGCCGTATGAACGCAACAGGCCTGTTCTCGTGGATCGGCTCCGACGGCTGGTCGGCGCGATCACTCGTCTCCGATGGCAACGAGCCCGAGGTTGAGGGCACCCTCTCCGTGCAGCCGCAGGCCAACCCCATTCATGGCTTTGAGGAGTACTTCCTCAACCTGACCGTGCAGAACAACAAGAGGAACCCGTGGTTTACAGGTGAGAGGGGTGGGAGAGAGAGAGAGAGAGAGAGAGAGAGAGAGAGAGAGAGAGAGAGAGAGAGAGAGAGAGAGAGAGAGAGAGAGAGAGAGAGAGAGAGAGAGAGAGAGAGAGAAAGAAAGAGAAAGAGAGAGAGAGATTTGTTTGCTGGGAGAGCTGGTGAGAGGTGAGTGATGGGCGTCGATGGAAAGTAATGAGATTGTTTGTCAAAGACTGCGAAAGTCCGCTGATAGAAGTCATAATGATTCAATGTGGCTGCCGCGACGCCATGTCTACACCGTTCATGGCAGCCGAAGGAATTTATTTGCCATCGGTAGTATCCAATATCAATAATTCAATAGAGCGTTGGCGATTTATGGTCCAATTTCCGGTCAGGGCCTGGCCAGCTCCGATAGCCGCATGGTGGTTTGACCGGCTTAAAAACACGACCAAATCGCCGCTTCAAATTCCGCTCAGAATTACTGGGACACTCATATGGGTCGCCAAGTATGCCCAATTTGCGAGTGGGATTATGCTGGCTTAATTCCATTACTTACTGCTTATGAGTATTCTGAGTGGAGTCCGAGTTGCTGGGACGGTGAGACCTCGATTCAATTGGTGGAGGAGGCGCCGCCTAGCACCCCGCGACACTATAGTTTCATTTTAATTTGTTTGCTTCTGGATGTGCATGTCTTATGATAAATGTTCGGGACTTTACGACCCGACGCCGTTTTCACTAAAATTACGACTGCCCGGCGTAGTGGGCTCGTAGGAAGCGGGCCAATCAGGAGCTTCCGATACGTTCGGCCCCACTCCGTGGATAGTGTTTGAGCAAGTTTATGACGTGATGTAGTAATCCTCGTCACGATCTATGAGTGGCTGTACTTGCAGTAACGACCAATGTATTTTGATCGGTCACGAGGGAAGTACATTTTATAGATGGCAAACTTAATGTATGTTTTGAATTGCCTGCACGATGTTTGATCGAAGTTTATTTTAACGTTTAACCCGGTAGTTGCTGGGGATATTTCGCCACCCGCCGTTTGCTGAGGGGGGGGGGGCGTTAAACGCCCCCAGCCGATAACTCGAGAACCAATAGGCGCAGCGAAACGCACGAGGCGGCAAACGAAAGAACGCGACGAGACGCTTCAGATGAGTACTTCAAAATTGAATTTTGAGGTCACAGGTCGGGTCAAGGTTAGGTCAAACACATGAAATCGGGCTTTCAGTAGCATGGACTTCGGAACCTCGCAATGGGCGCCTCTCGTCATAAACTCTGTCAAAACGGTGCACAATCCTTCATATAAGGCCTACAAGAGTGTCAGATCCATGTAGGGGTCAGTCAAGCATAGGTCAGGGTCAAGGTCAGGTCAACCAGGTAGGCACATATCCCAGAAAATCAAAACTGATATTTGCAGCCTGTGACACATATTTTGTGGGTAATTTTGGGCGTAGAACACGATGGTAGCATTCATTTAATCATATGTGTACGTGTTTAATTCAAAAAGTTCAATATAAGAAATGCATGTATATCATGGTCGTGAAGTAGTCACGAGAAAATGCCAAGATTCAGTTCAAGATTTTGGAAAATGCGGAACGATAATGAAAAATCGAAGACTGCCATTTGATTTTCCATGGTATTGGCAGTCTAATGGCGTTTACGGCATGTCTGTATGTCTATTTTGTGATTTTATATGATTTTTCGAACATTTGCCGTTTTTTGGGCGAAAACTCAGAAATCATGACGTTACTAAAACCTCGATTCTCAAAAAAAAAATTCGACTGATTTTTTTTTTTGGAATTTTGTCACAATATACTTCAATCAATTCCCTACAGGTACCCAAATTTTGGCGCGCCTGCGGTGCGCCGTTTTTATGCTATAGCGCGGCGAAAAAAGTGGGGGCGTTTAACGCCCCCCCCCCCCCAGCAATTTGCGGGCTAAGTGGTAATTTTGCAACTCATTATTTTCAAGAGCGTTTGAATAGGCATATACTTAGAGTTATAATGAAGCCATTAGATTTGCATTGCTGATGAATAATGAATAAACAGCTGAATTATCTAAAGACATAATAGCCGTTTTCACGACGGGCTATCCAGCGAATGCACCTGATTTGACCAAATCTGCACCTAATTTCTTTTACAGCAAATATCTTCATTTTATGAATTTATTTCAGTGTTTTAATCGATGTTGCTCTCTGATAATATGACAAAGCAGGCATATAAGCAATTAGTGCAACCCTAGCTGATAGCTGCTAAGAGACACACTAAACCTGATTTGACCAAATCTGCACCTAATCTGTACCAGACGTGCACCAAATGTGTACCAGATGGTCGTCGTGAAAACGGCTAATATACATATAGGGCATATAGGTACCATGGCAGCGAAGTGCAGAGCCCCTGTCTAATAAACCCGGACTTAGCTTACAAAAGTTCAACTCAGATTGCATGTTTCAAAGCTGCTGGCTCAGTGGCAGGTAAAAGTTGAGAACTTCAAATCAAAATTGAAAGCTCAGCAATCGCGGCCCAAGAAAGCTGGCAGGTCAATCGCATCCTGTGATTAACTGGTCAACAGTGGAAGGGAAAAATTCAATAGTCTTGAGCATAATATTGAACTGAAAAAGCATCGTGGTATGCGACTTCACAACGAAGTTGTTGGCAAGACATCCTCAAAGCCATCTTCCACGTACGAGTCTACCACTACTTTGAAACCAACTTCGAATAACACCAGCAATCGATTTTAGTTTCTATTGATGGCATCGACGGTGTCGTGCTTGGAAACCTGCGAGCGAGCCTCGAACGCACGTCAGCCGACCTGTCGGACAGACTCCAGCCGCTGGAAAGATTAGCCGCGCACAGCTGAGGGGTCTCCTCGCTTTGATCGACCACGGGTCGGCGTCCGTCTGTGACGGCGCACACCCTCGAGTGTCGCCGCCGGCGGGCCAATCAGCATTCAGCCCCCGGGCCGTACCTCACCCCGATCGAGACGGGTCGACGGCGCAGCTCAGCGGCGACAGCCTTTTTTGTGGCCGCGACGAGCGACGAGGGATGGGGAGGTGCTGAGCAAGGCAAAATTACACGAGGGATGGGTGGATGGGCTTCAGGCCGTCTTGTTAGAATTTTGGGTTAGATTTCTCAGGTTTAGGTGAATTCGGTTCATGATGCGTCCTAGAGGATGACGAACAATATGCAAGGAGCACAGAAGTGTCACTTTTTTCTTGTCTGGGACCGATGTGTGAATGTTCAATTTTACGAACACTCGATGCGAGGGAAAGCGGATGAATTTGATCGGTTTTCGGCTGGCCGTCATGACCACATCCGGATTTCTACGGGAGCTCAGCCCTCCGCCTACATGGCGGTCACCTCGGTCCTCGGGAAAGGCCCCGGGGATATACTTTATATATGGCCGGTGATCGGTGACCAGCCGACCAGAAAACGAGAAAAAGACACATGGCTGCGACGGAAAGATACGAGTTGCTCGTAGAATAGAACGAAGAGTTAGATGTTGCGAACCTGGCAGGTGTTTAGAAGAAAAAACACGCAAAGTCCTTTGAGGTGATTAAAGTTAAATTGATATTTTGTTTTATTTTTAACCTATCTTATTAAATGATACAAACCGCAAAAAAACATATTGTTCTCCCAGCTTTGCTGTTTACGAAGTTTGGCCAACGATTTCGCCTAGGCATAGCTTTGTGCTAGCTTCGAATTGCTTCAGTTTGATGGTTAAATCTTCGGAGAATTTGCCCGAAGTATCCGAGCTTAACATCGATTGAATGCGTAACTTTATGGACTCGAGTTCTTCGAGTGAAATATGACAATGATAAATTGTGAATAATATCCATTATTCATGGATTGAAAATGAATAATGGATGACGCCTAGGTTTTTAATAGCATTGTTCGTTTAAAGTTGATTTTGGACTATAAAGATCATGAGCTTAAAGATGATATATTTAGGAAGATCATCAGCGTATTAAGATCGATAAGAATAATACAATATTCTTGATTTGTGCGCATTTAAAATTTTAAAAAACATCTTCTAAATATATATGAAAATTCTCTCTTGCTTGTTATAGTATCGAGCGTTTCGGTATTTAAATATACCTTCGAGTTATTTTAAAGGGAGCTCCCAAAGGGAGCTTCGATATACTTGAGGGAAGCGAATCAGCTTATCCGAGCAATCGGTATAAAGTAAAACCAGCAAGCATCAATAAATACATACCATATAATAGTTTAACTCTCATCGAATCTAATTTAAATTTGCATGCAGCACCTGCACGATGAATCCATCACGCTCATTTAGTGGCTTTTTGTTTCACCATGGCCAGGGTTGGCATGCTGTGCCTCCTGATCCTGCCGTTATTTCCATTGATGAACATTTAGAACCGATAATTTATTCGGCATGTCGTAAGAAATTTGATGGTTTGCAAATATAACATTGTGGCGATAGAGGTTCCTTGTTTTTTTTCGGTGATTCATGCCAGAGATCCTGCCTTTTGCCCGAGGCCCATATCTGACCCCGTCGCTGCCAAGTCTGCTGCTGGCGCCTAACAAAGGCCTCTGGCGAGGTGACTGTGCTGCACCGCGGGGGTTCAGCGGCGTAGCCCATTGTCTGGCGGTCGGCGGTCTTATGAGTGCTGCCTCTGACCTCACTGGTCTCTCCCGCTACCTAGCAGACTCTACCTCTTCACTCATCGGAGCATCCTCATCCCATCGTCCCAGCGTCCCATCGGTCCCACTACTGTCCCACCGCATTATCATCCCACGGACTGAAATAGCTACCCACCCATCATCTCACCATGGCGAAAACCCATACTCCCACAAGGAGAGCCTCTAGCGCCTGCCCTCTACCGCCACTCCAAGCGGCGCTGCGCGACGAGTCAGCATCGGCTCCCTTCCGCCGTCGCCTTCCGCCGCCGCCTTCCGCCGTCATCCCGATGACGCAGATGCCGTTCTTCCGATGACGTAAATGGCACAATGGACAGGAGTGGTCCGATTATGCAGATGGGCGTTATGCCTCCAAAGCGGGACCGCCAAGAAGCCGCAAGGTCCTCCCGGATGCTGAGAAATTAGATCAAGGAGAGCGTTGTGTCAGTGCCGATCAGAGTCCTACGGTGGTAAGGGCGGTGGTTGGGAGGGTCTTATTGGCTGTGGAGAGTCTTGTGGGCAGCAGGGAGAGAATGGGGGCTGGACGAGCGAGGTGAGGGGAAACTGTAAGGGATCTGCGAGAAAGAAGGATAGATAGTGCTGAATGCTGATCGTGCTGTTTTTTGGTAGACCGTTATTATGAAAGACTTTGTATGTGCACATGATCAGATAGTCGGCTGCTTACCTGCAAATGATGAATGCGAGATTTGTAGTATCACATTCGCCCGTCAGTGACCACTGGGAATTCAGGGTATCGAGAAAATTGAGTTTTTATACGTTTATTTTCTCAAAAAGTCACCATATTTTCTCAAAATGCGTATAATATGAATGTTTTTTCAACGGATCATCTCTTGCCGGAGGAGACCCACAACAAGATTTCATCAGAAAATAACACTAGCGGATTGTCACCAGTGATTTCTTTTGTTATTTTTCTGGTTCTTAGTGATAATTCGATAAACTCTCAGAGGAAAGAAGATTTTCTACAAAGCCGGGATCTCAGTCCCAATGTGACACCTTCGGAGACAAAAATCAACAACATATCTCTGCGTCATTTCTAGCATCAGTAAAAACTATATCGGTCCCAAATGTACAAGGTCTTTGTGCACGCGAGGGCCATTGCCTCGATCTGTCCTCACTGCTGCAGGGTGTGCAATTGTGCAATTGCTCGAGGTGCGACTGTTTATTACGTAAGCGGACATTTATGGATACAAAAGCATCTTTAGTGTGGAAAGCACTCCAAGAAAGTAGCCAAAGTGTCGTCACATAAGTATCGCCCAAATGTAATAAAGTACTGTGACGAGGACGATAATCGTTAACAGACGGAAACCATAAATTAAGAATAATGCATTGGATTTCATCACTCTTGTCAGGGCCTCTACAGGGGCTTGCTAGTTTATTGCAACAATTAGAGCTCATAGTTTCCTTTAACAGTGGCCTCATTGGTCTTGGGCATTGGTAAGAGAGTTTGATTTGTTGGTCACATCGTAAAAGAAATACGTTTTCCGAACCCGTAGGCCGTAAGGGCTTTTTTATCTCTCAAATTTGAAAGTAAGCAATGCTACCTTTATTTGGTGGTTATAACCGGTATCGTATGGCGAGCATCGGGTGTTGTTCACGATGGTCCACTTGTCGACATAACAATACAATCTTTTTTAGTCTACCTACATAGACTGCTCCAGATTTCTTTGGATCTCCTACCATCATGTCTATTCTGTACGGACTCTTATTCTGAGGTTGATGAAAAATGTATTTTGACGTGTTGCTACCACTATCACTTCGTGTCACTGCAGGGATGCATGAATATGATGCTAATGTGTCTGCTGTCTTACATGCTTTACATAATGGAGCGAGTCTCTTCATGGTATTTCAGTTTCTACCAAATCTATTTTCGTTTTGCGACACTCCTTAGCGTTGTAACTGAGTTAGGGAAATATTGGACGCATTTCCATGATTATAATCTCAATTCCTCTGAATAAATTGTGTTTGAACCCTCTCAGGCATTCAGAGGTTCTCTTGAATATAACTGCTGGATTTTAGCCCAGCTCTCCAGAGCGCGGACGCTGAGATAACTGTCAGCTCTGAATCAATCCGGCCCTATCTTGCGTTTCAGAGTACTGGGAGCACAAGTTCGAGTGTAAGTTTCCTGACTCGCCATCGACCATCTACAACGAGCTGTACACGCGCAACTGTACTGGGCACGAGCCGGTTACCAGGAACAACACTCAGTTCGAGGCCCAGCTGCAGTTCGTCAGCGATGCCGTCATGGCGTTCGCACATGCCTTCAAGTGAGTGGACCAAAGTGCCGAGAACGGGGTAACTTGTCGCCGCAGAAAGAGAAGTTCTGGGGATTTGTGGGTGGAAAAACAGCATAAATAGGACGTATTTGTCAGAAAGTTGAAAGCACCTCAGTTTAGGAAGTGACCTGATTGCGAGAAGTTGGGAATTTATGTAGTGAAAAACAGCGCACGGAAGAATTTATCTTATCGGAAACTTTCTAGTTGAAGGCTGGACGATATCGGTGGTTGGTAAGAGTGAGGCCACCCAGTCCACTTTCTTTCAGCAACGGCTTGTAATTTGCCGGGTATGCCTACGGTCATGGGAGAAACAAATATTTTGGACACAACAACAACTTGCTGAAACAACTTGCAACCCTCTGAAGAGACATTTATCGAAATTTAAACTGTGAGCAATGGGCGGTTTTCTATGACTTGGAGACCGTAGGGTGCGCATTGGGCCCGCAACATTGGTTTTGGCTAACTGTCGTTATCCCGGTAGACGGATAGACCGCGGTATACATACTCCAATGACAATATCGCGTGTCGTTATGGATTAAAACCGTCACTATCTGATCACGTGATCCTCGCTTCTACTGCTGGTGTAACTCAATCACTTACCTCAGCTGTAGTGAGACAGAAAGTGTCCCGTGTTCGGCCGTTTACACGCTACAACGGTAACGCATTTGATGAACACAGCACAGGGATAATCACAAATTGTGTGTTTGCGCTCTTCTTTGCATTGATGGTCTGGCATGCCTGAGCGCAAAGTGTCTAATAATGTAACCGTTTTTAGGGATATGCACCAGCGCAAGTGCGGCAACATCACAGGTCTCTGCAATGAAATGATTCCGGTAAACGGACCTGAACTGCTCGGATACCTCAGGAACGTAACGTTTGTAGGTGAGTGCCGCAATCCTGAGGTTCATGGTAATGTGATACAATGCTAAAAAATAGTTCAACCGTTGCTGGACTATTTTATGAAGAATAACACAGCTTTTCAGTCCTCTCTTCATCGTGCTTCATCCCTTTCTCCCTCTCACCCTCTCTCTCTCTCCCTCTCTCTCTCTCTCTCTCTCTCTCTCTCTCTCTCTCTCTCTCTCTCTCTCTCTCTCTCTCTCTCTCAAACCCACTTACATCCACCTTGACCATTGACCACACTGTCCCACCCTGTCTCGCCTCCAGCAACACCCCGCGGGCGGTCGCCCCCATGTCGGCTAGGGAGGGAGGGGCACTGTAGGGGGGGGGGGTGCCGAGTGGAGTCCCCCGATAGTGCCCGGCGGCCGGCCCGTGTCCGTACTGATAACATGACGCCGGCTTCCTAGGGGGAGGGGGAGGAGGGTGTTGAGCGCGCAGATGCGGGTGCCAGCCGAACATGGATGGATGCTGACCCAATGATGACGTTAACATATGGGGGCACGTTTGTTGGGAGTGGAAAGGTCAGGCGGAGTCCAGTTGAAAGTAATTGGAGCTCATTGATTCCGTGTTTCGATTTTGCTGTCGAAAGAGCCTAATTGATGTGGTAATTCTGTGATGTATAGACGGCTGTGACCTTGACCGTGTCATAGTCCTCTCCTAAACTCTGCGGCGCATTAGTGTGCTCTGGGAGTTCCGCTTGATTTCCGTTTGGAGCCATTCGTGAAGATGACATGAACAGTTAGAAACGTGTGAGGAAATTAGCTTTCGCCAGATAGACCGCGAAAACCAGCAATCCGCAGCCTCCAACATCTCGGCATATCATGAACATTGATATTATTTGCTGGGTACCTACATATATGTATTCATAAGCATCTATCCAGTAGCAATGTTACCAGTAGTCTGCTAACAACAAAATTTCAAATTTGAGGCGTGCATTTCGTCTCTTATGTGCTGTTCATGCTAGTTGCTACACAATACACCTTGGTGTGTAGAGGCTCATGTGTGTGCCCTTTACACAGTACAATTTATTCATGCGTTTTGACTTTGCATGGCAGACGATGAATTACTAATAAAACACAAACATATACGGAGCAGCTTGTCCATGTCAGTGTAAAGAATGAATGGATGTTATACCTATATGCCGACTAGAAATGATGTCCAAAGCAATGCAGATCACACAGGCTTCGTGCACTTTGGCTCACGATATCAGATAGGTACAAGAAGCCAGTTACTTCAGACATATGTTGCTGTTATTCTCCGCTCAGTGGAACTTCTACAAATGCAAAATTGAAGCTGTCATCTATTTATTGTTGGATCGGTGTATGCGGAAGGGAATTGATAGACCCTGATAGTGAAATCTTTTTCACAGATGGGAAATAAGCCTCGTTGATATTGGAAATGCCTCAGAAAATCAGTCCATTGAGAAACACAAATGAGATGCAGATGCTGTGCGTGGAAAATCATTAGTAACTAATGTCGACTCGATATGCAGTGAAAAGAAAATGACAGTCGATTGGGAAATGACTCCGCACTGCACACTTTTGTGTACCCAAATGGCAGGCTGCGTGCAAATGAAGGATATAAACTTTGTTTTACGTAGCTCGATTTATGTCTCAGGTAACCCGGTTTTTAGTGAAACATGCCCGCAGTTATTCTTAGGTGTTGTTTTTATCCGCTGGGACTGAGAGCGTGAGATGATGTTTTTTCGTACTCCAGCGTAGATGGGTAGCCATACGGCTGCCACGGTTGACAGTGATGACATCAGTCATCTTTTGCAAGCTCGTTAAAGATTTGGGCTATACGGGGATTATAGCCCTATACGGGCCTAACTATACGGGCCGTATAGCTATACGGGCCGTATAGCCCAAATCTTTAACGAGCTTGCAAAAGATGACTGATGTCATCACTGTCAACCGTGGCAGCCGTATGGCTACCCATCTACGCTGGAGTACGAAAAAACATCATCTCATGCCCGCAGTTAACTTGCAAGTATTTTCGATAAGTAGCCCGATCCCTCGCCCCTCCCTGGGGGAATATTTACATCCTCTGCCCCCCCCCCCCCTGCAATATTCCAGGTTTGAGCGGCGACCAGTTCAAGTTTGACGAACAGGGCGACGGCCCCGCCCGGTACCGCATCATCCACTTCAAACAGGTATCACCGGGCCAGTACCGCTGGGAGCTGGTCGGAGAGTACAACGGCGATCACCTGATGCTCAACATGTCCAGTAAGTTGTTCAACGATCGCTTTTTCACAGCTGGAGGGATGTTTTCTCTCACAAATATCGGGTCGCTCTCAGGCTATATACCAGGGACGAAATGGGTACAAAGCAGGAATATATCTATAAGTTACCACTGTGCGTGTGATGAGGGTGCTGCCAAATAACTAGTTTGTATTTGAATAGCACTTCTTTCTGTGGTTATGCGTGGATTGAAATTGAGATAGAAATGTTTTATTCATTATCATTTCACATTACTCTCTTCATACCGAAGGAGGAGATACAGACAAAGAGAAAGGGAGAGAGAGAGAGAGAGAGAGAGAGAGAGAGAGAGGGAGATAGAGAGAGAGAGAGAGAGAGAGAGAGAGAGAGAGAGAGAGAGAGAGAGAGAGAGAGAGAGAGAGAGAGAGAGAGAGAGAGAGAGAGAGAGAGAGAGAGAGAGAAGAGGGAGGGAGGGAGATGGAGACTGATCTGGTTCCTTTGTGACACAATTCTCTCGGTAGTTTCTCGCCATGCGTAATATGTCTGCGAGTCATGCGTCATTCTAATGGTGGAAGCTAATGCGACAGGGCGGGACGGAGCGCGATCAGCACACTAATTTAGTCACTGCTGTCTGTGTCTCACGTTCGTCATTCGTCTTATACGTGCGTGCGCCAAAACTAATGGCATGCAGAGCAGGCCAACGATACATACGAGTACGTTCAAATATGTAGTCATTAAATACCAAACAACTATTTGCAGATGTGTAATATCCGTCATGAGTGAAGTCTAATCCTAATCCTACTCCTACTCCTAATCCTAATCCTGTACAAGTCTTTTATCCCGCGCCCGGCTGGGGGTCCTGGATTTCCACGCCCTGCTGGGGGGGGGGGGTGTTTGAACACCCCCCCCCCTTCTAACTCGGCTCCCGGGCCACGTAGCGATACGCGGAAGGCGGCGTTCGAAAGAGCGTCAAAAATAATGAAGAAATCACTTCGGTCAATTTTTTGGTCAGGTCAAAGGTCAGGTCACCAGAGGTCATTGAAGGCAAAATTCGCCGATTTCCAGGTCGAATGTCGACAATTTCCAAGAAGCCAACGCATAACTCGGGAACCAATAGAGCCACAGCGCCGCGGAAAAGCGCATTCGATAGCCCTATTAACGCCCTTTCTGAGTAATTTTCTCAGATTTGACCTAACGTCAACGGTTTTGCCTGCAGGGGGTAAAAACGGCAAAAATAGCCGATTTTTTCGGAAACAGTTTTCTGCAATAACTTTTGACCCAAGCCTTGTACGAGCTTACTTTTACCAGCATCGTGTTCCTCTCGTCAAGACGAGAGGAACACGTTCAAGTTGACCTTGAAAGGTCAACTTGAAAATTTGACCTCAGGTCAAGGTCATGACCTGACCGGAAAGGGTCATGTTGCATATCAGTCGATCCGTATCGTCGAGCTGAACACATCTAAGGCGTTTTCATCGCTCTAGCATGCCTATATCAAAAGTTATTTGCGAAAAACTGTTAGATACCATTCGTGACCTAAGATGACCTCAGGACATACACAGGGGTCACGGACACCATTTTCATGTTCAGTGTGTCTAAACCACTTGTAATTCAGTGTTTGGGACTGTTTATAATGTCTTTCGTCCAAAAGAGGAGCATTTCAATTTTCTCCCATTGACTTATAATGGGGAGGTCGCAAAATTGACCTGACCTTAGGTCATTGATATCAAAATTCTGAGATATACATTTTGTACATGCTATTGCCCTTAGCAATCGCTGAAAGTTTCAAAGCGATCGGTCACTCGGTGTAGCTATGACAGACATTGAAACTTTTTATGAGGTGAGGTCACTTCAAGTGACCTGGTGACCTGACCTTGAATGACCTTGGTCTGAAATTTTTCACAACATGTGTAGAATTGATGTATGATAAGGTGTACCAAAAACGGCCGCCGTTTTTGAGATATTCGCGAAAAACCACAAGGGGGTGTTCAAACACCCCCCCCCCCCCCCCAGCAGGGCGCGGGTTATTGATAGAAATATCGAAGTCCATGCATAGAAAAATTCCGCTGCTCCCACATCAATGTGAAAAAGCGTTTCCGAGTCACTTGGGACCGAAAGGTCAACCAGAGCGTAGCACGAGTTTGCGAATGTCTTCAAGCATCTCTGAAAAACATCAAAGGTGCATTGTTTGGCCTTGTTGGCAAGTGAAGGCCTAAATCAATGAGAAGCAAAGAAAATCGTTGCGTGGGCCTATTAGAGCCCAGTCCCGAGACATCGCGTGGCGAGCTAGGCTGTTTTGCAAGCCCGGTTGATAAGGAATGAAACCTTTGTCTGCACTTCCCGTTTGCAAATCCTATCAAGACGAGTTTCAGGTGACGGGATATTCAAGATACCTTTCTTCATAATTTAGCAGAAATGGGCTAAAGATATTGCATAATATACAGCAGCACTCCTTCAGTTTCCTACCTGCTTCGGTTCATGCCCGTTACCCGGCGTTCTGACTATCTTACTGAGCGTCCCGACCACCTGATTTCCGCTTTCTAATCACCTGACCTCCGTTCCGCAGAGATTCAGTTCAAGATGGGCGCCCCGGCTCCACCTAGCTCAGTCTGCAGTCTGCCCTGCCAGGACGGCCAGGCCAGGCGCTTCTTGGACGTCAACTGCTGCTGGCACTGCTACAATTGTTCTACATATCAGGTAGGTGCAGGTGAAACTTGTGCTTGTTAGACTGTTGACGCAGTTCAAAACATTCATTGTGCCGGGCCTTGAATGTTTTGTTCGTGCATGCTTCTTCGCCGTTACAACAAATCTGCTACATTTGCGACAGTAAGGAAACGGAACAATAGTAAAAAAGTGCTGTTGACACCGATAAGCAGCATAAGCGCTATAAGATTTCAGGCTGGTATCAAGAACCAATTGAAAAAGGTTTAATTTACACCATCGTCCCCCTTCTTCACGCCTCTTCCCCCCCCCCTGCCTCGCGCCTTTTCACCCCTGCCTCACTCCTGCCTCACCCATCCCAAACCCCCGGAAACGCTGGGCTCGCCGACAACCGCAGGGCCGTCCCGGATCTGAGGCAGTCAATAACGAGCGCCGCTGCCAAACGGATGCTCCAGCCCGATAGACGTCATATAGCTGACGGCGACGCCGCCGCGGGAATGCCAAGTCGTCCGAGCTTCCTGCCGCGGTTTCACAAGACGACTGGCCGCTCTACGTTTGAACTAGGGTTTGATATAATGGGTGGGTGTGGTGTTTACTTATTGTATTTTGCATTGACGTAGGTGGATTGATCTGTACGGATGATTTTTGGCGTGACTACTGACCAATATCATTTCCTCTGAACAATGCATGACCCACTAAAGAAGCGAACAGCTACCAATACATACTGGTTATACGCCTATGTTGGTAAAAGTTGTATCTTGTCCATACTTTTTCTTACCTAGAATTTGCATTGCTGCGTTTACTTTTTTCGCATACAGAATATCCTTATTGACTTAATATCGGCAAATCCCACATAAAGCGGTCTTCTCGTGGATTCCTAGGCAAAAAAAAAAACTACACGCGAAACAAGGTTTTGCACAGGAAAGGCAAAGGTAGAAAGTCACTTTTGTTTCCCTAATTGTCAAACATGGATATGATATGAGCGTCTATAAGCCGCGCATCGTATGGCAACATGCTCGATTTGCTGCCCTGCATCATCTCTGCTACACAACTATATCATGTCTACCTGGCTCGCATTTCCACCTTTATCATATGATGAAGACCGCAGCTCTCCTCTAAATAACCGGGACCGGAGCCGGGCTCGGCCATTTGATTGTGCCGGCGGCGGCCGTCGCTCGCCGCTGCTCTCCTCGCGCCGGGTCGTTCCGCTGAGCCGGCCATTCGGCGACCTTTGGCAGTCGGCCGGCGTGCCGTCGACGGCCCTCTCCCCGCGCCACGATGTGCGCCGCCGCCGCGTCCGGGGATGCGTCGGATTTGTCACTGGGGACAGATAGGCGGCGATATCGGCGCGGGGCTCGCCGCCGCCGCCGCCGCGATGAGAGCGGTGGTGGTGGGGTGGACGCAGATGGCAGACGGCCCGTGGTCGGGTCGATTTCATTATTTGTTTGGTCGTGCTGATTATAGTCCGAGCATATGGTTAGTGGTCTGGGCTTATGGGGGAAATAACTATGGTTTATGAAGATTGTATTACCGCCATTAATGGCCATTACTGATGCAATGACACCTGGCCTTTGTAGGCGAGGAAAATGTGATAAACGAACAATGTCTTGTTCATCGTCAAGGTTATGTTTTTATGACTAACTTATCAATAGCCGTATGCAAACAACTGCCTATTAATTTGAGTGTGGTTGTCAGTTTGCAGCTTACTGAAAAATTAAACGTTTTTATGGCTCGAAGAAATAGTATGAAGCGCTCTAGCGAGGAACATCTTGATATATGTAGTTAGAATTTCAAATGACATTTTCCTCGATAGTTAATTGAAAATGGACGCCATTTAATTGCGTCCCAGAAAAGCTATTTCTGGCACCTAAAAGCTGACTCGCCCCAAAATTGGTCCTCAGCACCTATTTGGAGGATACCAGCACCAATCATGGAAAATGACCTTAATTAGCTGTTTCTGGCACCTATCCATCGGTACGCCTTACTCTTTTTTTCTGAATATGGCGCCTAAATGCTGAGCGTAGCACCAATCTAGTAGAAAAATGAACTAGGGGAAGTTGGGGCAATGCCGGAGTTGGGGCAAAGCCGAAATTCGAGATATTTCGAAAACCGTAAGACATGGATGCCACCTGTCAGTGATGCTCTGAAGCTTAAGTGACTACAATTATCGCATGTTTGTTACGAGTCGTCATTCGGAATACTTCGACTGTGAGGGCGCCAAGAGCGTTTTCAAGGTACGTTTCCCTTGTACTACATGCGCCTTTGAAGCTGCATTTCTTACTCATTATGCTACCGTTTGTCTGGCCAATTCGGTCAAGTAATCTTTAGCATGTCTTTGCATAAGTGTGCTGCCTATTTGAAATTTATACAGCACGTTGAAAAGTTATGGGCCTGCAAATGAAAGTATGGCAGGCTGGGGTAATGCCGAAAACGTGCGATTACGCACGTGTTAAAAGCACGCTACGTGGACTTTACTGCTGTAGAATAGCAACGCGTATTTTTAGTCACACAAATTACACTTTCAACCGACACAACGGCCTGTTACCTATAAGGAATGATTTACCTGGCATGTTCTTATTATATCACACAATTATAACTTCCAGTGTGCACCGCGTCCTCAAGCTCTTAAAACGCGTGTCAGCTTTGATCAATTCTGGATAAAGTTTGAGATAAAATGGCAAAACATCAATGTCGGCATTCCCCGTAGATCATTTCTCCCATTTTCGGCTTTCCCCGCAGTCCGGGGCAACGCCGAAAAAGTCACTTCTTTGATATTTTTAGTTTGTGCGCTTAACGGTGTGCGAATTCATCAAATGCGCCTGGTATGTTTGAAAGGCAAAAGACTGGCCTCTCGAATGACGCCAACAAGAATAGCTTATGTTGTCTACCTTGCGTGCTACGGGCGTCAGAAAAAAAGTCTTCGGCGTTCCCCCAACTTCCCCTACTGACTGGTAGAATCATGTTGTTCTGGTATAATGACCCCTGGAGTCTAGTCTAAAGGTTGCCAGTGCAGCTACACTCTAAGACAGCCCCGTAGTGATCTCAGCATTGTATATGACGTTTAAGTAAGCAAATAATATTGATTTGTTTGAAAAAAAAAACAATGTCATTCAAATATTTAAAAGCGTTTATTTGTAATGCTTAAAGGGAAACATTTTTGTGAGTAATTGTCTCGATTTTGACCATTAAAACGGGTATTGTATTTTTTGACGTCATCAAATAGCTCCAAAAAAGAAATGTATTGTTTTCATTCCGTTCAAGGCCGCTGAAGAAACGCGGGATCTTGCGTGGGACATTGTCCGTTGTTTGCCGCGCAGAGTTGTGCCGTGGTTGTGCCTTTTTCATCCGTTTCTTACTTATGTCATTTGTGTGCATGAAGCTTTGATTTTGTTTTTGGTTATTGTGTGGCCGGTCAGTCAAACGCCCCTGTAGAAACCGGATGCTGCGTTTGATCGAGATGAGTCAGACGATGATTGCAGAAAACTAATAATATTGAAAAGAGGGCCGGTTGCGTGGCATGTCTGTTCAGAGTTAACATTTTGCTTTACTCCAGTTAATGACCTGAGAGCCTGGCTGGAAGTGACGGATCCAAACTTTTCACGTTAAAATGGCTGAGGGTGCAATAATCTCTAGTCTCTACATAGCGGGCTGGTATAGGAGCGTCTTGCTATGCTGCACCATAGCTGGCTAGTGATTCTCTTTTGGCTAGAAATGGCATTAATCATTATCTCCACTGGCGAAAATGGCACTTGACATCACCGACTGCAACGTTCATGTTGTTAGGATACATAAAATCAGGAAAATTACGCGAATTAGGTAGGCAAACGTGGAATAAAATAGGTGCTGGATGTTTTGGTTTTGGTGATGAATCAGCAAACAGCAAATACGGAGTTCAACTAGACGATCTGGCAACTTTAGGCTGTGTGGAAGCAATTAGGTGCCAGATTCAGATATTAGGGTCAAATAAGCATTTTGGGGCTGATCAGCAATTAGGTGCCAGAAACAGCTTTTTAGGGACCAGAAACAAATATTCCCCATTGAAAATGCAATATTCTAACATATCCCGCAAGCGCAACCACCCGAGCGCTCTCTTCTCTAGGACTTTGTAAAGACCTGCTATGATCAAAACTGCAATCCCGTCGCCAAAGCCAGCGTCTGTATCTTTCTGCCTGCCCAATCGCGTCCATCTCCTTGCAGTCATCTTTTGATCGGCTGCCTCTTTCGTTCGCCGGCAAATAACCCTACATTCGCATCCTCTCTTTTCTCACTTTCCTTCCATTCCCTCTCCGCTCTCCTTCTCCCCCTCTCACCCAGCCTAACTCGTGCGAGGCTGCGCCACCTCAAACGTGACCGTATTTCACGCTCGGTTCGCAGCGAGAAACATCGGCGACTCGCTCTCTGGCCGGCGCATAAGCGGGCGATTTTTCTGCCGCGCCGCCCGGCCGGCCGGGAAACGGCGCCATGTATCACGCCCCTCCGGGCCGGCGCGCGAATGCAGATGCCGTGTGACTGGGGAGGTGCGGTCGGGCCGCGCACCCCCGGCGGCGCCCGATGTCGATGACAGATCGAGGTCACACCCGGACTGGGTAATCGGCGCCATCGGTGGCCACGTGGCGGTCAGCGGGGTGCCGATGCCGATAACCCGACGGTCGCCGATATGGGAAGGCGCTTGGGCGGGTGTTGATGATAAGGAAAGCGTTTGGACCCTGGGTGTGCGTTAGGAGGAGTTGGGGTATATGAACTTGGGTGATTTGTATTTATGATTATGAGACGCTTCATTAGGGGCCTTCTGCAATTTAAGATTTTTTTCATATTCGTACAGGTACACTTTCCTCATAGGAAGGCTACAACATAATTTTAAATAGCAATTTTGAACTGTAGTTTCATTGTTATGCAAAGACTAAGGACATGTATTTAACCCGGCAGTTGCTGGGGTATTTCGCCACCCACCGTTTGCGGGGGGGGGGGGGCGTTAAACGCCCCCAGCCGATAACTCGAGAACCAATAGGCGCAGCGAAACGCACGAGGCGGCAAAC